GCAGGGGGGGGAGCCCAGGGCTGGGGTGGGGACAGCCAAAATTTTTTTTGCTTGGGGCGGCAAAAAACCTAGAGCCGGCCCTGACGGGCAGTCACTTCAGTACAGGAGTGGACAATGAAAACAGAAGTTCATTTGCCTCTTCTGCTGATCATCCTGGAGGTGAAGAGGAAACTAATCATATGGGGTGAAATTCATCCCTTTGCATTTGACCAGCCCAAAGACTAATCTCACATATGTCTTCAAAATAGGGCTGAAGTGGAGTGTATGTTATGCAAAGACTTTGTGCTAGCTGTCTGCCCAGGGACAAATTTCATCCAAAGGGGGCTGGAAATGGTTACTACATAGACAAGTTCTTGTTAAAAGAAATAGATCAGCAGCTTCGCTAGTCACCTGTTTTCATGAACGCCAGATCTGAATTCAATTGCGAGCAGCACAAGGTCCAGCTTCACAAAGCAGAGCCTGGGGAAAGGAAACAGGCCTGAAGTGGATTGGTTAAACTGCATTAAGTCCCTTGTGAACACTTTTATTCAGAATTAGAGTGTCCTTATTCAGCTCATCTTAATTCACTTTGGAAGTGAATTAAGTGAAATCAAATTAAGGCCCTAATAGCTCATCTACACACAGAATTATTCCAGAATAGCTATTCCTAATTAATTCCACGGGTGATGTTCTGGTTCTGGAATAAGAGCTTCCAACACATGAAGTTAATCAGGAATAGTTAATTCACTTTAAATGTACACCCTACCTTATTCTGGATTGACTTTCAAAAGGGAAGCAGGGAAGTAACAGTGAACTCTGTCCTACCTACCGGCAAACGTCTGGAAAAGTCATGTCCACAAAATCATTGGAGAGCCAATGAGTCATCACTTTGTAGTCATTGCCGTCAAAAACATTCCTGTGCCGCAGGCCTTTTCTCTTCACCTAAAACAAATAACCATGGCGCAAATGTTGTTTTGCGAAAGAGGCAGTGTAATACTGGGCTGCCTCTGGCCACGATTATATATTAGTGCGGCAACCCTGACAATTACTAGAATTCAGTGACACCCACTGGCTACTGCAGCAGCCACATGAGCAGCACTTAGAATAATGGGCCAAGTTAAACCATAAGTGATCTAAACGCTTCACACTCATACATTAATTGAGGCTGGTTGTTTAGCAGGACTAAAAATGGAGAAAGTCACATAATGACGAAAATATACAAAGAAGTTCCAGAGTCTGATAATTTTGAGCAAAAATTCCTTTACTTTGCAATAACAATTACTCTGTTTACCTATCTATTGTAGGGCTGGTCTTCTCTTAAGAGTTTTAGTGATGTAAGTATGTTGGTTAGGTTTTTTTTTTTTGCTGGCATAGTTATACTTGTAAAAGCCATAGTGTAGGGGCAATTATACTGCTATAAAGGTGCTTTATATCATTATTGCTTATTTTGGTTCCTCAATTGGAATAAGCAATACCAGTATAGGCTCTTTAAACCAGGATAACTGTGTCCATCCTACGGGCGATGCTGCTTTAACTATACCAGTATAGTTAAAATAGCAAAATTTTCTAGTGCAAAGAAGTCCTTAGGGTTTTATACTGCCACCCATCACCATGAAAAACAATTAATGAAGCTGTTTGAAAATTCTCTGATGAAAAGGTTGTTTTTTTGTTTTTAAATGGAAAATGGCTTTGTTGGCAAAAAATGCTGATTGTCAAAGACTTCCAGGGTTGCCTAGAACAAAATAAAAAAAAGTGTTTTTTAATTTTGTTTTTGTTTTTCTGGCAACCAGAAAAACAGAAATTTTGATCGGAAACTAAACAACTGAAAAATTTTGCAGGAAAGAAAATTTCCTAACCAGCTTGAACAGTTAATAATAGTTAACTAATATCTTGGGCAATTTATTCCATGGCCATAATTACTGTTTGATAATGGACCGCTTCCTTATATCTAACCTGAATTCCATTGTCACTTGATAAATCACATATACGATTTTTTCTTGGAAGGAAAAGGCAAAAATAATTTTTTAAAAAGGTGACTAGTAGAAAAGATACTGTATTACATCCAGGAGCCATGCACTTGTCTTACTAGCTTATGTACAGTCCATGTTGCTGCACACTGAAATAATTTTATGTAGACTCCAGATTTTTAAGAGTGGCTACTAACTGTGAGTGCTTCTGTTCTGGGATGCTCGATTAGAGAAACCTTGGGCTTGGTTTTGAGAAGTGCAGAGCACCAAAAATTCCACCGAAGAAAGCAGAAGCTGAAGTGGCTAGTATGGGGCCAGCTCTAGACCAAACAGTGCCCCAGGCGAGGAGCGTCTTCGGCGCCCCATCCCTTCCATTTATTAATCTTTTGAATCCCTTATTTTTTATTGCATTTGTAACCCATTTCACAACTTTGATGTGCAATGTGCATGCATGATTTATCCTTGTTATATAAGGTGATAAATTTGAATGCTAGGACCTGTAAATCTGTATTTATTCATGCCATATATAAGCAAATAAAAAAATAGTGCTTATACCAGCATACCTAAGGAAACATGTATACCAATACAACAGCATCCCTGCTAGAGGTGTTGTATCTATTCAACTTTAATTATCCCAGTATAGTTAAAGAACTAAAGCAGGCCACAGGACGACAATTCTGTTTTGCAACATGAGATTTCAGAATTTGTTTTTGTTCCACTTTGTAACAAAACAAAAACCTTCTCAACTTTTTGTGAAATTGAATTGTGTCAAAACATCTGTTTTCCAATGCAAAGCATCAGATTTTCAATGTGGGTCTCTCTTTTTCTCTGGTCAGCAGAGAACCCTGCACATTAGAAACCTTCCCATCAAAACTGTCAAAAATCAATTAATTTTTTCAAAACATTTTGGCTTTGATGACACAGCATATTTTGATGAAAATATGTTTAGTAAAAAATCTTCCAAGAAGTTTTAGGTACAACTTTTGTGTATGAACCAGACCTATATTTATTTCATATTCCATTCACTTAATCTGTATAAGCAAAACCTGTGAATGAAAAGTATCAGAAGTCAGAAATGGTATAATTCTTTTGCCACTGTTCTAATCTAGAACAGAGGAAAATTCAATTAGTATAGAAGCCACTTATGGAAAGCATCTCAAACGGCCACTAGGTGATAGTAAAAACATATCCATTGCAGCACGAGGAAACATCAGGCTTCTCTAAATAACTTAATGCCTGACAGTTATTTCTTTTTATTACATCTTCCGGCATTGGCTTTAAGAATTGCGAGCAATTTTGTGTACTGAAAAGTTAATAACTTACTTGTTAATTTTTCTTCTTTAATAGGGACAGATCAGGAGAGTATATTAGTTAGTATTCACTCTTTTGCAGAAGGACAGTACTAGGGTTACCATATTTAAAAAATAAAAAAAGAGGACACTCCACGGGGCCCTGGCCCCGCCCCTTTCCCACCCTAGCCCCACCCCAACTCTGCCCATTCCCCAAAGTCCCCGCCCTAACTCCCCCTCCTCCCTCCCAGCCACGCGAAAAGGGCTGCCCAAGCGCTACCAGCTTCACAGTTTGCCGGGCAGCCCCGAGACCCTGCGGCCGCGGCTGGCGCTCCCCAGCGCAGCTGGAGCCCGGGAGGGGAAGCGCCCAGCCGGGGGCGCAGGGTCTGGAGGCTGCCCAGCAAACCTGTGAAGCCGGTAGCACTAGGGCTTTGGGCAGCCCCCATGCCTCCGGACCCTGCGTCCCCGGCCGGGCACTTCTCCTTCCCGGCTCCGGCTGCTCTGCTCCTCCCCTGACTCAGACTTCAGCTCTGTTTAAGAGCCGAGCTGCCCGAGCCAGCGCCACGGGCTTCGGGCAGCCCCCGTGCCTCCGAACCCCAGCCGCCAGCCGGGCACTTCCCCTCCCGGGCTCCAGCTGCTCTGCTCCGGTGGCGCAGGGCAGCTTGGCTCTTAAACAGAGCCGAAGTCTGAGTCAGGGGAGGAGCAGAGCAGCCACGGGAGAGGAGGTGCCCGGCCGGTATTTTTCCCGGACATGTTCCGCTTTTTGGCAATTCCCCCCGGACGGGGGTTTGATTGCCGAAAAGTCGGACATGTCCGGGAAAAACCGGACGTATGGTAACCCTAGACAGTACCTAAGTCCTGTGCACACTTAAGCCCCAATTAAATTCTATTTGGAGGGTGTAAGTGGTTCAGTGGCCTTGTTCTGTCCCTCTGTAAAGGCTGAATCTAAGGTTATGTCTACACTGTCCGGCAGCTCAGACTTCAGGGGTATGAATTGCAGTGTGCACCAAAGTGCTGTGCCGTATCTCCCCCATGTGGATGCTGCGGGCATGAACTAAAAGGTTCCTACTTTGCATTAATGTAGTCCTGTTTACCTTTTAGTTCACACCCAAAGTGTGCAATTGGGGGAGTTATACTAGAGCACTTTGGTGCACACTGCTTTTCATTCCCCTGTTGTCTGAACTGCAGGGCTGTGTAGACAAGCCCTAAGCTTTGGTCAACACTTAAAACACACTTAAAACACACAGCTATGGTGCTCAGGGGTATGAAAAGTTCACACTCCTAAGCACCGTAGCTATGCTGATCCTAACCCACAGTGTAGACACAACTAGGTCAAAGGAAGAATACGCCCATCAACTTAGTTGCCTTCACTTGGAGAGGAGAATTACCTACAGCAATGGAAAAACCCCTTCCATCATGGCAGGAAGCCTTACTACAGCACGACAGTGGAATAGCTACAGGGCTGAATCTGTGCTGCTGTAGTACCCCTGGCGTAGACATAGCCTAACTCTGTAAGAATAAAACAAAGACAGAAAATTAATGCACACAGAGAGATCCTGCACCGTGAGAAGCAGGGTATTAACTACACAGGATGGAAAAGCTACCCCAGGACTGACTCTCACCTCATTTACGTCATCAGTCAGTTCAAATCAGGGGTAATTCCAGTGAAGTCAGCAAAGCTACACTGGCTTGAGAGGAGAATCAGGATCCAGACCTTTAACCATGCTGTAAAGCATTATTGCAGACCTGTGGTACTACGTTCAAGTGTTACATAAAAATAGCCTATTAGATTATCTAGTCTCCCCTGCCAGATTAAGTCCAGTTTGATCAAGATGAGCCTGAAAATACCCAGGCACAGCTTCCACTAAAATGAGGGACACACACTTGTCAGATAAGATCCTGCAGTGGTCATTCACATTATTTGGACAAGTGAAGGGCTTACCTTGGTACTCTTTTGCCTAATGAACAGGTGTCTTAGGAGTGTGGACAAGCCTGGGACCAAGCAACTCTGGGCTATGAAGCCTAGTTTTAGTTCAGCCAAACAGATGATGCTGTCTCCTCTCCTCCAGTCCCAGTTGGGGATGTTTGCCAGGTATACCTGTCTCAGCATAAGATAGTGAAAACAAGTGAGGGTCAAGAAAGGCAGGTACATGATGTTCCTATAAAATAAAAACTGCCTTTTCTGTCTCCATTTTTTGATTTTGAAAAAAATAGTTATTGAAATTTTCAAAATAACAATATTCTAAAAATGTTTACAAAACCAGTAATGAAGATTGTGAACAGCTCTAGGCCAAAGTTTATAAAAGGGGCTAGAGATTTGGGATGCCACTTGGTTTAGGTGCCCTACCTGAAAAACCTTAAAGGAGCTAAACACTTTCTGAAAATCAGGCAGCTTTAAGAGGTCTCACATTGGCCACCAAAACACTGAGGCACCAAAAAAATCACTATTTTTGAAAATCCTGGCCTAGCTCCTATCATTCTGAAATCTAGCCCGGTAGGGATCCCACACCTTGCCATAGTGGATCAGACTAACTGTCCTTCTAGTTTGATCCCCCATATCTTGCTATGACTAATACTTGAAGCTTTGCTGGAGAGCAAAAATAAATTTCTGCCAGCTGAGCAACACTTCTGATGGGGACAGCACACAATGCAGAGTTAAATCCTAAACATATATTTTTAAAACAAAAAGTCTAACAATGCCCCTTTGATGGCACACAATGTGCACGAGAGAAGAAGATTCAGTTATTATCATTTAGTAACATTAACAGACACACTTGATATGGTAGTAATGGAAGGAGGAAGATCTATGGGGTGAAATCCTGGTCTTATAGAAGTCTATAGGAACTTAGTCACTGATTTCAATGGGGCCAGTCTTTCACCCATGATGAGCAGCACTAAAGGAATAAGATTAAACTGACAAAACTACTGGGCTACCTTTTTATGAGACTGGATTATCTGTATAATGACTCTCGTCTTTGGATAGTGATTCTTGACAGACAGAGCCCTGCATGAAAAATATACCTGTTGGTTAATGTGCCTTGTCTGGGTGAAATGCCCTCAGGTCTCAAAGCCTCACCACAATGGTTACTTCACAGCATAGCGAGAGGGGAATGGAGACCTGCCAGGGATATGGGATGTCGCAGCTGACCACAGGAGTGGAAGCAGTTGGACATGATGAAATCCAGAGCTGGATCGCATTGCTGCGGATGAATCAGGACTGGGGTGGGGACAACTGTGGGGGACCCTCCAGCGAAACTACAGTCAGTTTCTGATTTTTGTGTGTGCAAAATTGTTATCTGAAAACAAAGATCTAGAATTCTGCAAAGGAATAATTCCAACCCCAGGCTTCCTCCCCGCCCACTGTCTGGTGCTGGAAGAGAAGGTGGGCTTAGGGAGAACAATAATTCATATAGTACTTTCCCATTGTACCTCTCCCACAAATGATGTTTTACAAATGCAACAAATTGATATTCCAACTATAGCGGGGGAGGCACTTCACTCCCCATTGAAATGCAGCGGTGCCTGACAATGTTATCAGACAAGAAGTGGAGAACCATACCCAGTGGCACTGGAACAATCATACCCAGGGAGGGTGCTGAGAGCCATTGAACAAAACTGCAAACCCTGTATATGATGAGAACTGCTTGAAGCCAGGGGGTGCTGCCACACCCCCAGCACCCATAGTTCCAGCACCCCTGATTAGATCTGTATCCATTGAGAGCTGCAGGGGGGATTCCAGGGGACAGCAAGTATTCTATGATGTATTTGTATTGCAGTAGCACCGAGGAGCCCCAGTCCTGGACCAGGACCCCACTGTGCTAGGTACTGTACAAACACAAAACGTAAATAATCATCTAGCTTGGAATCTGGGCCGGAACAGTACTTCTGTAATGATTCTGAAGAGGAGCAACACACCTACTGAATCACCAGCACCAGATAATACAGCATCTACATGCACTCTAGGACTCTCACATACAAGTACTGACTAAGCCTAATCACGCTTATTGTGTGAGAGCTAATGCAATCACTGCCCAAGGGAGGCCACCTGAGACTGTTTCCTCAGGATAAAGGTACCTGTCCCCTTGAGAGCTGCAACAGTATTCATGAGGGTGAGAGAGCAAAAACATCGTCCACTGTGGGGTTTGGGAGGTTAGAGAACTGTCTGCCTCCTTGGTCCTCTTACACAAAAGGGTTCTGCTTACCCTGTCACAGGTTTCTCAGCAAACACATTCTGCTCCTGCCTGTGTCCACTCATTGTGTTTGCAGGTGCTAACATCACTCAGATACAGAAAGAGAATGCTGGAGGATCTCACCCTACCTCATGATATTGGAAGTGTCTTCAACATAAGGGTCCGAAGAGCAAGTGTCTGCTAGGATCAGACAAGCATCTGCAGATCCCATCTGTTTCTCAGGAGAGAAAAGCAGACTCAGGGTTTGATTCCACATGAAGTACAATAATCTCCTGTGTTTAGCTGACTTATTGTCAAGAATCTCTACTTTCCAATAAATGCTACATTTCTTAGAACCATTTTATATGCTTATTTTAAGGCCTATTGGTCCCAATTCAGTTTTGTCATTTATTTTCATTTTCCATCATTCTAAGTCTTAATCCATTAAACTCAAACATTTAGGATTAGATTCTTGTTTCCTTCTTCACACTGAGTTGCACCTTACTCTGCAAACTGTTTCATTGAAATACATGGGAGTGCTTGAATAAGGTTCTAATCAATGCTAGTAGTAGCAGAATCTAACCATTTGGCTGGATGGAGCTCAGCTGGAGCCTGGATTTTCAAAATGGTGACTCCTGGAAAGAAAATGGTGGATGGAAAAAGGAGTCTTACCGCAACTCTCTTCAGATCTTCATAGTTCAGTGCAGAGCCATGGAAGAAAGTGGTATAAGCAGAATAGCATTTGAATACAGTTTCCAGCTCTAGACTAGGAAGAGTTCTACAGGATAAAAAATTCAGAACAGAAGAAAAAGGCTGATCAGCCCCTAATAACAGTGTTCTTGACCTGTCCAAAAAATGTCCTGTGTTTATGTGCCTTTTTGGGACACTGGCAGATCAGCAAAGGCACATAATTTAGGTTTTATACAGCCTAAGTGTTATGGAATTTAAATAAGTACTATTCCACTAAAATGAGTGCAGCCGCACTCTGCAGCATGGGGTACTGCATGAGAAGCAGAAAGCAAGACTTGCTAAAGCCCTGATCCTGTAATCTGCATCCAGGTGGAACCATAGGTCCGTTTCTCTCCTCCCTGTGCACTTCAGGTCACGTCCTTCCCTTAAACTCAGTTATTTTCCTAACTCATTTCCACACTCTCATTTACTATTACTCGAAATACAAGAGACGGGACCCAACCTTCCCTCGCAGAATAATAGATATTAAGACCAGAAGGGAAGTTGAGATCATCTAGATCATCCTGTATAACACAAGCCAGAGAATTTCACCCCATTACCCCTGTATTCAGCCCAATAATTTATGTTTGGCTAAGGCCAAGAAAAGCATCCAGTCTTGATTTGAAAACAAGGGATGAAAAATCCACCACTTCCCTTAATAGTTTGTTCCAGTGGTTAATCATCCTCACCATAAAAAAATTATGCCTCATTTCTAATTTGAATGTGTCTCGCTTTAAATTCCAACTACTGGTTCTTATTATGCTTTTCTCCACTAGATTAATGTGGGTGCCAGAACTGCATGCATTACCCCAGCTCCAGTCCCATCAGTGCTCCAGAGTCAAAATCACCTCCCCACTCCCACTCATTTTGCTCAGACTGTAAATGGGAATCCATTGTGAACCATGCAATACTTAATTTGCACATGGCCAGCCAGAGAGAGATAAATGTCTCCTCCCCCCCGACAGACAGAAGTATATGTATCACCTTTTGGTGACCTGTCTTAACAGACCTAGTTATGTATATACAATAATATATATATATATATAAATAATAAAATTTAATATATAATATTATATAATATATACTGTATATAATATTTTATTGTATATACATAACTCCTAACATTTTACATACAGACATGTCTCTGTGATTATGATGAGCAGTGTGACATAGACTTTCACTAGAGAAATTCAATGATATTCTCTGACAATAAGTAGATACCAGACCCTGTAACCCTTATTTACCCCTGTGCCCTCTGCCAGATAGCTCCAAGAGATCCTTGGGTGGGTCATAGAGTGTCATATAGAGTGAGTCCAAAATGCAAGATACACTCAAAAAGGAGAACATTTTTATTCTCATTAAACATTTAGCACAGAGAAGATTTTATCATAAAGCTTCCCAAGGTGGGAAGGTCTCACATGACTCTCTGCTCTTATTTCCCATTAATTAGTTACACAATGTGACTTCCCTTGCCCAAAGCCACCAGGCAAGAAAAGTATCCTCTAGCTCCCCCAAACAACTGTGCTTAGGAAGTGACTTTGAAATGTTTAGTGGGAATACTTACTCTCCCAGAAAGACAATCTCAGTGCAAATATCTCCCGTGTCCTGGGCCAGGAAGTTCCTTAAGAAAGCTGTCACGCTCTCTAGAGTGATATCACCGCAGACAACAATGTACCTACAGAAAGAGATTCAGAGAACTCTCTGTTATGTTTGAAACCTGTAGAGTGCTTATTATAAGCATGGCATTGTATGTTTAATTAATTAGCCACGAGATGTCTCTGTGTTCTATACAGAGTTCCAAACAGAGTGTGGTCCTGGGTAAATATGGCAACAAAGTTGGAACTCAAGTTGTGTGGAAGCCTTTTTGTTTGTATCTGTAGTTGTGATTGTGATTCTATATATCATGATCCTGTAGGTTAGAAGAGTTATTTTGTAAACAAGGGGGATATATAACCCTTTACAAGTATTCAAATGGTGTAGACACCAAAGGGAAAAAGGACTCATTTAGGAAGGGTTTGGGGGATACTGAAGAGAAGTTTAAGAGGTGACTTAATCAGAGTCTATAGGTGCCTACACAGGGACAAGATATCAAGTAGTAAAGGATTTTTTAGTCAAGTAGACGAAGGCATAACAAAATCCAAATAACTGGAAGTTGAAGCTTGACAATTCTGAACTGGAAATAAGATGCACATTTTTAATAGTGAGGGTAATTAATCATTGCAACAATTTACCAAAGGATATAGTGGACTCTTGTCAATTCAAACCTTTAAATCAAGAAGAGATGTCTTTCGGAAAGAGATAATCTAGTTCAACCACAGGTTATGGGCTTGATACAAGATTACTGGGTAACATTCTATGTCACGCCGGAGGTTGGAGTAGATGATCACACTAGTCCCTTTTAGCATTAAAATCTCTCAGTCTATGAATGTATAACTAGGAGTAATGAGGTAAAATTAAGCCAAAACTAATTTAAAATGAATATCAGGGAGAAAATGTTACAAGTGATTTCTTTAATACAGTGGGATACTCCCCCAAGGAAATGCTGGGAGATGCTCCATCACTTGAGTCAGTGAAAAACAGAGTTGGTTGACAAACAGGTCAAGGCAAATTAACGGACATATTTCCTTTTTATTTTTTAATTAAAAATAAAAAAACCTCAAACTCTGAAAAATGTTGACCTACTGACAATCCCCCCCCCCCCCGTTTTGGTTGATATTTTAAAATTTCAATGACATTTTTCGCTGAAATTTGAAAAATGTCAACCGGTTTTACTGAAAAATAGAATGGCCTAAGCACTGAAGAATATACAGGAACAATCCTGCTTTGTTTGAAAAGGATGGGCTAATTGAAATGATAGGACTCATCTATCTGTAATTTATACTTCCTCTCTTCTTAAGTTATGCCAATATAGGCTGTAGTGTAGAAATAGCTTATGGCACTCAGGGGTGTGAATAAACCACCCCCAAGTGACACAAGTTACACTGACATAAGCACTTGTGGGCACAGTGCTATGGTGTCAGGAGAGCTTCTCCCGCCGACGTAGCTTCTTCCGCTTGTGGAGGTGGGTTTTTTATGCCAACAGGAGAGCTCTCTCCCTTCATCATCGAGCGTCTTCACCACACACACTGCAGCAGTGCAGCTGTATTGGTACAACTGCACGCTGCAGCGCTGTATGTATAGACATATCCTTAGAAAAAAAACTCATCCTGAAGAGAGCTGTTGTTGACTAGATTACTAGTGCACTCAGATACTTTGGTGATGAGGGCCAAGATGGATGGGTAGAAAGATAGAAAGTTTCAGGCTTTGGCTCAAGTTATTTTGTGAAGATTCATATCATTCCTTATTTCCTCTGCAAAACAAAGAGAAGCTTACTAGTTAGGTTACAGATCAGATCAAAGACAATATAAACAATCACACTTACTTTCTCCCTTTCACTATCTCATACGAATCTTGGTATTGTTGATTGCCACCAACGATATCCACAATTTCAGGGATAAAATTTGCAAACAAGACCTAGAGTGTCAAGAAATACAATCCTGCTTAGAGACATCTCTGCTTTTCCCATTGTCCAAGGGTACTTCTCGTTGCATCCCCTTGCGGCTGTGTCTGGGGATTAGTTCTGTCCATTCTGACACCCATTTCCTTTGGTCGCTCATGCCATGGCCCCTCTTGCTCTCTAGAAGCTGCAGTGCTTCCACTTCATGGCTTGGCCCTCTGGCCAGATCACTGTATAGTTTTCCCTTTCTGGGGTAACAAAGTCTCACCAGACCAGCTGCCATTCCAGGCAGTCTTCCGATTCAAGACTGTTGCACTTCCCCAGTGGCTAGGACACCCAGGCCCTCCTTCTGCAGCTTTCTTCTCCACCACCCCTCTGGGTAAACCTTTCTGTCAGGGGTCAGAATCCCAGGGATTTTCCTCCCCCTGGGTTTCCGCCTTCTCTTGTCACTAGGCCCAGACAGTGACTGGTTTTATACAAGCCCCCTGGTTTTATACAAGCCCTCATCGACTGCTGTCCATCTTCAATTAGTGCTTGTCAGGGAAGCCTAAGTCTCCCCCTATGTGCAGCCTACTAAGTTAATTAGTCCTCTTCTGAGCCATGTTAACCCCTTCAGGCGTGGTGTGGAATGAACACCCCATCTAACCCACCCATGTTAAATTTCAGACCCTAAATTGTGAGTCATTATAGAAGCTCACAATAAGGCTTGATAGTCCTACAGTCATCATAAAGACTGGGGGAATGCCCATTGGGTACATGTGCGATACAGGAATTTTCTTGCTTATTTCAGGGGTCAATCTAGCTCAGTATCCTAGCTCTGACACTGGCCAATACAAGCTGCTTCAAAGAGAAGTACAAGAATCCCTGCAGTAGGCAATTATGAGAGGGGGCAACTTCTCCACACAGACACACACCCTCCAGATGCCTACTCTAGTGGTGGACAGATGATCTAGAGGATAAGGTATATAACTAGGGGTCAGATGACCTGTGTTCTAGTCCCACCTCACCCATAACCTCCCTATGTGACCTTGAGCAAATCACTTAATCTACCATTATGCCTCAATTCTTCATCTTTAAAATGGGGATAATAGTCTCCTACCTCATAGGGCTGTTGTAGGATTCAGTTCATTAATGATTATGAGGTGATCAGATACAACAGTGATGAGTGACATATAAATAGATAAGATATTTTCCTAACTCTGATTAGTCAAAGCTTGTGCCCTGAAGCATGAGGGTTAATATATTAAACACTTGCAACATTTTTGCTATTAAAATCCTGGGTATCCTTGTTAATAGATAAAGGCCATGAGCTTAGGAGGATTCAAAAAGGGATGGATATATATGATACCTTGTGGCAGTAAGTTCCACCGACTAATTGTTCATTGTTCAGAAAAAAAATATTTATTTTTAGCCATTTTATATTTGACACCTTTGGATTTCATTGAATGTCCCCTGCTTCTTGTATGGTGAGAAAGGCAAGTGAATGCCGTTCCCTGCTCTACTGCTAGTCATGCCAACATCTATCACAGTAGAAATGCTGAACCCTGAGCTTTGGTGTTCGCATGTTGGCATTCAAATCAACAGAGAACTGGCCACTTGTGGAAAGGAGATAATGGTTTCTTACCAGACCAGCGATGATGAAGAAAATCATGAAAATACGACCCAAGGACGTTTTAGTCACAACATCGCCAAAGCCAACTGTGGACATGGTCACCATTGTCAAGTATAAACAGTCAAAATAGCTCAGGGACTGGGAATTTTGATGGTGGACCCAAGGATCTCCACTATTCTCCACCTGCCAGAATTATAAAAGGGTAGGAAAGGGTTTTAATCCAAGATTTTGGTTCAGGTCCATCTCTAATTAATGAGTGTGTCATGGATACATTTCAGCCCATTCTGAAAGAGTCAATGCCTCTTGGAAAGGTTTGGTTGAGTGGCAAATCTTGCTGCTGTCTCTCTCTCTATTTTCCCATGAATGAAACAAGCACTTTTGTTGCTATAGGATCTGCTGCTTATTTCCTAGCAAGAGTCATAATAATCCTTTGCCATTGATATACCAGTTGGATGAGTTGCCAGCTGCCCCGTTCCAATATATAAATATATAATAGGGCTTACGTCCCTCACTTTCATCTGCCCCGTGAGCTAGGGTTGGGGAACCTCTTTGCCAGAAAGAACATAAATGAAATGTGCCCTGTTATAGCTACATCCACATAGCTACCCATGTGACCCCCTGATGCAGACATGCGACAGCAGTGCAAAATGGGGCTTTCCCCAGTGCAGATTAATCTGGTAACACATCCAAGCAAATTGTGTTGGTGTAAATTCTGCTTTGCTCAGGTACAAAACGTCTGCATTAGGGATTTGAGCTGATGTCTAAAGTACCCTACTCCTTTGGGTGACTAATTTCTGAATCCACCTCACCCTTGTCCCCTGAAGTACCCTACTCCTTTGGGTGACTAATTTCTGAATCCACCTCACCCTTGTCCCCTGCCAAGGCACAGCTTGCCACTGGGCAGCTAAGAAGAAACTGCTTCCCTGTTTGTCCTATATTCCATTAACGTTGCTACCATCATTTGGGGAGGCAGTGCCCCTACCCTTCCACTGATGTAGGCTGTCTACCCTATGGGGTTATGCTGGCATAGATATGGCTTTGTAGCTATGCTGGTCCAACCTCTGTAATATAGACAGACCCTTACAGTGGTCTTTCAGACCAATATCTACTCCTGTCCCATCTCTCCCTAGTCAACGTCTACATTCCCCCAGCAAAATGTACAAAGAGAAAATCCCTTAGCACTGTTTTATGATTATCCAGGAAGGATGTGGAACTAACTGTACATACCAAGTGAATAAATCCTGCAGCTGTGAGCCAGGTGCTGAGAACTGCAGCTAACAATTTGGACAGCTTGATTGAATTACTGAGGATAGGAGGGGGAAAAGCTCATTAAAGACATTGCATAAGTTATGTTACAGTTTCAACCGCCTGCATGACTCCATCTGCCTCTTGCAAGAGACCTCCGACTGGGCATAATATTTTTGATTTTCCTTCTTCCTTCTTAATAGATCAGCCAGAGCCACAGAGTTGGATATGGAATAGTTTGCACAGTTCAGATTCAGGGTCATGGGCCAGATGCAATACACAGATCCACATGGAATCCTGGATCAGAATTGTCCAGCAATGTATTACACCCACTTCCTCCATTTCCTAAGCCAGCCAAAATACAGAAGCCAGGAGATAATGATACATGGCAGACATCACTTGACCAGACTTTGACTTACCTCGTCCTGGTGATCTTGAGAAACTGCAATATTTTGGGAAGTTCTAACAATCTGAGTGCTCGCAAAAACCGCAGACCTGCAGGAAAACAGCAAAGGAAAAGGACAGAGAAAAATAATGTCTAGCAACAGGACCATGTCTGTGTGTGTGTGTGTGTGTGTGTGTGTGTGTGTGTGTGTGTGTGTGTGTGTGTGTGTGTGTGTGTGTGTGTGTGTGTACGTA